GGGGGGGTTGCTTTCGTTTAGGGACTGTTCTTTACTTATTAGAAGCAGGTGTCTGCAGTGGAACATTTTTTGCTTTCATTTAGGGACTGTTCTTTAATGATCATAGGACAGGGGTGGCTGAGGCATGACTTAAAAAATGTTTTTTAGGGACTGTTCTCTATCAGTTAGAGCATAAGGGGGTGGCTGGGGTGTGACTTCCTTTTTGTTTTGTATTTTGCTTTTATTTAGGGACTGTTCTTTACTTATTAGAAGCAGGTGGCTGCAATGGGACTTTTTTTCCATTTAGGGACTGTTCTTTAATGATCATAGGACAGGGGTTGGTTGAGGCATGACTTAAAAAATGTTTTTTAGGGACTGTTCTTTATCAGTTAGAGCATGAGGGGTGTGACTTTGTTTTTTGAGGGGGATTGCTTTCATTTAGGGACTGTTCTTTAATTATTAGAAGCAGGTGGCTGCAGTGGGACATTTTTTGCTTTTATTAAGGGACTGTTCTTTATTTATCAGATGATGAGGGGTGACTTTCGTTTTTTGTTTTTTGAGGGGGGTTTTCTTTCATTTAGGGACTGTTCTTTAATGATCATAGGACAGGGATTGGTTGAGGCATAACTTAAAAATGTTTTTTAGGGACTGTTCTTTATCAATTAGAGCATAAGGGGTGTAACTTTGTTTTTTGAGGGGGATTTGCTTTCATTTAGGGACTGTTCTTTACTTATTAGAAGCAGGTGGCTGCAGTGGGACATTTTTTTTGCTTTCATTTAGGGACTGTTCTTTAATGATCATAGGACGGAGTGGCTGAGGCATGACTTAAAAAAAAATTAGGGACTGTTCTTTATCAATTAGAGCATGAGGGGTGGCTGGGGTGTGACTTCGTTTTTTGTTGTTTTTTTTGCTTTTATTTAGGGACTGTTCTTTACTTATTAGAAGCAGGTGGCTGTGGTGGGACTTTTTTTGCTTTTATTAAGGGACTGTTCTTTATTTATCAGATGATGAGGGATGACTTTTGGTTTTTGTTTTTTTTTGGGGGGGTTGCTTTCGTTTAGGGACTGTTCTTTACTTATTAGAAGCAGGTGGCTGCAGTGGGACTTTTTTTCCATTTAGGGACTGTTCTTTAATGATCATAGGACAGGGGTTGGTTGAGGCATGACTTAAAAAATGTTTTTTAGGGACTGTTCTTTACTTATCAGAGGACGGGGTGGCTGGGGTGTGACTGGGTTTTTTTTAAGGAATTGTTCTTTATTTATCTTTTATTCAGGGGCTGAAATGATCCCACCAAATACAACCATTTCAATTAGAGTGAGCCTCCCCTGAGCCAAAAGAAAAAACAAAGTCCCTCCCCGGTGCTTTAAAACACATTTGACATTTTGCACCCCCCACCCCCACCCCCCCACCCCCCCTCACAAGTAATGAACACTCCCTTAGGATATTTAATTATCTGTAATTCTTGGTTCATTCAAAATACAGCAACATTTCAGCAACAAACTGCTCTGATAAAACATCAAGTCGTAAAGACACATTAAATAAGAACATTTAAAAACAACTAAAATGCCATTAAACAGAAAACAAGGTAAAATATACTAAAATAATATTTTATTATATCATACAAACTAATATATTTATCTTGTTATATAAACTTTAGAAGTTAAAATAAACTAAGACAGGTATAAAACACAAGAATAGAAAAGTAAAAATAAAAAGAATAAATAAAGTGAAGTGCAGAATAAGACATGAATAAATATCTGATTTAAGAGAAACACTTGTAGTTCCTGTGTTTGGCACAAAGATGGCGCTGTTTCATTACTTTGAGAGCAGCTCACTGACTCGTCACCTTTAACTGGAGATACTGAAGTCAAACCATCTGAAAGGCTCGAGCTGTCTCCACGCGTCAGGTTCATAAGGAGCTGAAATACTTTAATAATTATTAATATTCATCTCCTGCTGTATTAAGACACACTCTTATCCACTAAGAGCTGGTTTAAATCCTGGAGGTAAAAGTATGTGGACACTAAGGTATACAGAGGGGTGTTTTGCTGTCCATATACTTTTGGCCACATCTTAACATTGACATATCGGACTGAATTAGATTTTAACTGAACACATTTCCACGTAACGTCACCTGAATCAGGCACAAGAACAAAATATAAACTCGTCACCAATGTCCATTCGGAAATTAACCATTTTTAGGGACGCCCAAAAAACTCGTGACACATACAAGTGGAATGTTTTGGTGTCCACATACTTTTGGCCACATCTTTACCTACAAAATTCAGACAAAACTGGAGCCAAATAACGTAACACAGATCAATGTAATGAAAATTAACCATTTTTAGAACTGTCCACATACTTTTGGCCACGTTTGAACATCTAAATGTCGGATTAAATTAGACACTAATTTAACAATTTCTCACTTAAATCGGGCACAAAAACAAAATGTTAGACTTTCTCCAAAGTCCCTGCGATCTCAAATGCTACAATATTTTTGTGTCGACTCGCTTCATATGTGCAAATAACTCGTGTGTGAACTGATTAATGAACTGCCGCTACGTCCTTGGCATCACATGTTTTCGGGATCTCATTGCTGATTGGCTATCTTGGTGCGAATCGCTCACTGAAGCTCAGATTTTTCAACTCTAACAAATAAGTGTGTGATGCGAAACCGCGTTACTCACTTCATTCGTGGCAATTAATTTGCATCCATCGTGACTTTACATTGACCTCCATTTATTTTCAGGCTGAAATTCAAGTTTTCTAAAGAGTAGGGACAAAAACCTACGTGAAACTTCCAGCTGATTTCAAATAAATTAATAATTTTCCGCTAATTTTCTTAAAACACACCTAAAAAATAAGATCTCCAACTGTAGTGTCAACTTGTTTGTATGAAAAAGTTCCACCCGATTTTAATTTAACATTCCTCAAATCTAACCACAAAAAGAAAAATCTCTCACGTATTTAAGGAAAAATAAGAAAATGTTTCGATTTTAATTGAGGAGTAAAAATGTTCATAGGTTTTTGCTGAAATTTAAGTTTTTCTGAAGATGAGGGACAAAAATCTGACACTTTTCATGAGAAACTTTCAGTTGATGAAAATTGAATTGAATATTTTTCACAGATTTTGTCAAAACATGTCACAAAACTTAAGTAGTATCAACTTATTTTAACAAAACTATGGGAAAAAAAGATTTTTATTGAGAAATTTGAAATTAATTGTAGATTTTTGCTCAAATTTAAGTTTTTCTGAAAAGGAGTGACAAAAATCTGATGTCAAGATCTGATTTCAATAAAATGAATAATTTTTTACTTTTTTTTTTTTTTTAACAAACCACAAAAAGTAAGATCTTCCATTGTATGTCAAACTATTTCAGGAAAAAAATGTAAAAGCATTTTCATTTCAGTTGAGAAATTTCAAAAATTTTCACAGTTTTTTTGCTGAAATTTAAGTTTTTCTGAGGAGTGACAAAAATCCGACTAGTTCCACCTGATTTCAATTCAATCGAACATTTTTTCAGTAATTATCTTAAGACAAACCATCTTTTACAGATTTTCTCAAAATTTTCTCAACTTATTTCAACAAAGCAAGGAATTTTTTTACATTTTTTTTTACAAATTTAAGTTCTTCTAAAGAGGAGAGACAAATATCGGACACCTCTAAGGAGAAACTTCCACCTGATTTCAATAGAATAAATCATTTTTCACCACCTTTCTTTAAACTTCCACTGTAGTATCAACACATTTCACAATAATTAAATAAGTATTTCCATGTTCTGCTACTTTATACTTGAATATAATTTTTTACTTTTTATTTTTGGGAGTATTTCATATTCACATTCAGAGGGAAAGCGTCCTCAGGGTGTATCATTAGCCCCGCCCCCTCCCCTGGCCACGCCCCTCCGGTTTTGACCCCCCTCTGTATATAAAAAAGTTTTCGGTGTGTGGCGGCTCCCGAGTCTCAGACACGCCAGAATGGAAACGCTCCTCGGTGCGCTCACTGGCACACCTCCCTGTCCTCCTCCTCCTCCTCTTCCTCTTCTTCTTGTTGGTTGCGCAGCGGCACTCCGGCAGCTCCTCACCGGGACTCGTAGGAGACACATTTAGAGAGTCAAAGCAGAAGTGAGGATGCGCTGTGTGTGGATGGATTGAGGCTGAAAGATGGATCGTCGGGTCGTGGAGTATGCTGCAGGGAGGTTTCCAGCTGGGCTGATGCTGATTCATCAAACACGGTTTCTTCTTCTGCTGCTGATGCTGCTCGCGTGAAGCTGCTCGGAGGACTCTGCGTCTTGTTGTGGCGACGGGCTGTTGAGGATGACCAAACACGTCCATGTCACGATGTGAGAGGAAGATCTGCTGCACACGCGTCTTCGAGTGGATGGAAACAAAGTGCGCCGAGTGGCATCCAAGTGCGTCAGACCTGAGCGGAGCGTCGTTACGCATGGAGACAGCTCGGGACTGAGCTTCTGCGTCTTCACATTTCTTTTTTATGACTTTGACAAACGAGAGAAAAAGTTATTCTCACTCCTCCTCAAACAGAAAATGAGTAGCTGTCTTTTCCGACTGGCACTCCTCGTGGCTTGCGTCCTCTCCATCCGCTGCACCGCTGCGCCCGGGACCGAGGCGGAGGCGCACACGGCGTCCCGGGATACCTGCGCGTCCTGCGGCGTCGCTCAGCCGGAGGACCCCGAGTCGGGCCGGCTGAACGTGGACTTCCTGGAGGCGGTGAAGAGGCACATCCTGAGCCGGCTGCAGATGCGGGAGAGGCCCAACATCACGCACCCGGTGTCGAAGGCGGCCATGGTGACGGCGCTGCGGAAGCTCCACGCCGGGAAGCTGCGCGAGGACGGGAGGGTGGAGATCCCCAACCTGGACGGACACCCGATGAGCAACGAGGTGCTGGAGGAGAGCTCGGAGATCATCAGCTTTGCGGAGAAAGGTGCGTGATGGAGGCACATGTTCATGTTCAGGCGCAGATTCAAAGAGTTTTTAACAAGAAACTTCATTTGATTTCAAATATATTTAACATTTTCCGCTGATTTTCATAAATCAAACCACAAACAGTGAAGTCCCCCACTGTGACGTAAACTTATTTCAGGAAAAATGAAAAGACGTTTAGATTTTAAGTGAGAATTTTGAAAATTCTTGCAGATTTTTGCAGAAATTCAGGTTTTTCTAAAAAAAAAAAAAAAAAAAGAGTGACAAGCAACCTCCACCTGATTCAAACTATATGTGACATTTTTCACTATTTTTCTTAAAATGAACCACAAAAGTAAGACCTCCCACTGTAGTGTCAACTTATTTCAGGAAAAATGAAAAGACGTTTAGATTTTTATGAGAAATATGAAAAGTTTTTGTAGATTTTTCTGAAGACGAGTGACCAAGTGACACTTCTTTCGAGAAAGTTCCACCCAATCAATTTAACATTCCTCAAAACAAACCACAAAAAGTTAAATCTCACATGTATTTCAGGAGAAATACGAAAACATTTTGATTTTTATGCAGAAATTTGAAAATTCTCATAGATTTTTGCTGAAATTCAAGTTTTTGTGACTAGGACTGACAGAAGTCTGACACTTCTAACAAGATAGTTCCACCTGATTCGATTAAATTTAACATCTTTCAGTAACTTTCTTAAACAGAACCACAAAAAGTAAGATCTCTCACTGTAATGTCAACGTATTTCATGAAAAATAAGAAAACGATTCAATTTTTATTGAGAAATGTGAAAATTCTCGTAGTTTTTCAGAAGAGGAGTGACCAAAATCTGACGCTTCTATCGTGAAACATTTCTCAAACCAAAGCACAAAAAGTAAGATCGCCCACTGCAGTGTATTTCAGGGGAAAAAATGTTTAGTGTTTTATTTATTTTTTGTGAGAAATTTGAACATTCTTGTTGATTTTTGCTGAAATTTGAGTTTTTCAGAAGAGGAGTGACCAAAATGACACTTCTTAGAAGAAAGTTCCAATTTTAATTTAATATTTCTCAAAACAAACCACAAATATTAAGTAGGCTAGTGTCAAATCATTTGAACAAAACAGAGAAAACAATTTGATTTTTATTGTGAAATTTGACATTTTTTTGTAGATTGTTGCTAAAATTTCACTTTTGCTGAAGAGCAGTGACAAAATTTTGACACTTCTAACGATAAACTTCCACCTGATTTTTAATCTGTAAATATTTGTCACAAATTTTGTCAAAACCAGCCACAAAAATTTAGTAGCGTCGAATCATTTCAACAAAACTGAGGAAAAATATGAATTTTTATTGCGAAATTAGAAAATTCTCATAGAATTTTGCTCAACTTTGTTTTTCCAACCACAGAGTCATTCTAAAGTCATTGAATGTTGGTGTGACTTCAACGTCAGACACCAACGAAAAATGGTATCCTTTCATATTGGCAGGATACACGGCCAGTCGCCAAATTTGTTTTACGATGCCCGGCTGCGTTCGGAGGAAAGACAGCCGGACTACAACAAAAGTTAAGGTGGCAGAAGTCCGAATAGGGCGGGTGGGATGGGTGGTGGATGGCTCCAACTTTCACCAGGGATGCCGGTGTTCACTTCCTGTAAAATTCTAAAACCAAACCCTTCTTTTTTCCAATCACGTGCGTTAAATTCGACGTAGTGCTTTTATTCTGAAAGAGACTGTATGCAAACTGTACATTTCCTGTGAAAACAGAAGTGTATTTTGAAAACAGACAATGCATGTAACAGGCTGAAGTTGACACGGCGTCCCAGAACGTCAACAACCAACACACCCAGGGTACCTTGGACGCCATATGTGGACGTGGAAAGTCCATGACCAAACGTGGACATGTGACGAGGTCACAGTGTGTTCTGAGGAACTCTGACACTGCTAAAGTTAAACTTCCACCTGATTTATTACCAGAACAAGCCAGAAAATTTAAGTAGTTGCGACTCATTTCACCAAAACTAAGAAAAGATTTGAATGTCTAGGGTGAAATTTGAAAGTCTCGCAAAGACAAAACATCAAATTTGACCCCACAAAAGACAAATATGGTCTTATGTGTCACACACACGGCGCCCTGCCTGGAGAAGTGGCCTGGATTTATGAATGAAGAGCTTAACTCTAACACGACTCTGGGGCGTCAAGTCTGACGAGGCTTTATGAGACTCTGCGGACTCATAAAAAGGAGGCAGGACACTTGTTGTACTCGTGAAATCTAATATCTGAGATGATACTTGATGCATGTAGCTGATGAATCAGGTGCTGCTGCAGCCGCCTCTGCTCCGTGTGTGTGTGTGTGTGTGTGTGTGTGTGTGTTCAAAGTGTCTTTATATATCGACTGAACGAGAACCAACCCAGAGACCGTCCTGATGTTGAACAGATGTTGATACAGGGGCCTGAAAACCCGCCAAAATAAAAGCAGAGGCTGTGCGTACAGCTGCCTGGTTTGGTGAAGATATCAATCCACAAAGCTCTAATAAGACTCTTGTACACTCGTGAACATGCCGGCTATAAAAACACATCCTGCTCTGTCATCACGAGCTGAACGTTCGCAGTGTAGACGCATCAAAGTCAGACAAGCCGCGGCTGCAGAAACTCGTCATTTAGTCTGGTTAAATAAGATGTTTGGTGTTGTTCTGAAGCCGCTGTTGGGAAGCTTTACATGAGACAGGGCGTTACCAGTCAGAGAATCGCAAACACAGACAGAGGATGGTTTCGTCTAGATCAGGGGTGTCGAGCATACGGCCTGGGGGCCAGACCTGGCCTTCCAAAGGGTCCAATCCGGCCCAGTCGATGACCTTGCACACCTTATAGTGATGCACTTGTGAAGACTAAGACTCGTCAGGTTGCAGGAGCAGGTGAAACACCTACGATCAAATATGGCCCGTGAACCAAAATGAGTGTGACACCCCTGATCTAGACGATCAAAGAATCGTAAGAACTTTGACTGTAGTTCGGTGGATGCAGAGCTGAGAGAGCTGGTCAGATTCTGGAGTCTTTGATTGTACTTTGTAAGCATGCTGCATTCAAGTGCTGGAGAGGAGAGCTGGACATGTGGGACTCCTGGCTCCCACCCCAGTGTTGTGTTCACTTTCCTAGAAAACCCCCCGAGCGCACACAAACATAAACTCGGGCAGCGTTTAGCTCGGTGTCGGCGGAGGTTTGCTCCCCACTGAGAGCCTTTTAGTTTCAGATGTTTCTCTCTGTGGCCGCTGTGTCTCAGACCTTCCACCTCGCCGTGCCGCGCTTGCCAGTTGGCCGCGTTACCGGCACTGAGCGGCTGTCAGCGGGGACGTGGCACGGCGACAAGGCTCAGAGGAACAATTTACTCAGGGGCGGCTGAAAGGGAGCTGAAAATGATCAACGACGCCACCTGCTTCGCCCACGTGCGTCCGTCCGCTCGCCTCCCGAGAAGCTAAACATCTGCTTTCCACATCAACGCGTCGCAGTTTGAGGCCGTCGCTGCGAACATGTGTTGGTTATGTCATGTGTCTGAGCGTTTGTTTCTCTGTCATGTCTTCATGTGTGTCTGCGTTGGCGTATACAAGCATCTACATCCAGGATACTTTGCGTGTGTGTGTGTGTGACATGGCAGGGTTGTGTTGAATCAGTCCCCTCAGTATAAGGTCAGAGCTTTTGTGTCGGCCGTCGTGCAGCCTGAATGCAGATTGACGGGCTGAACCCTGCAGCCTGGCACCCCATTAGAATTCACAGTGTGTGTGTGTGTGTGTGTGTGTGTGTGTGTGTACAGCCTCTATATGAAAACACAGTGTGACTGGAGTGTTTGTGAGTTTACAGCGTCACACTGTGTCGTCCAGATTCCCACTTTTCCTGAACGCAGCGTGTGCAAATCACCACCTTTAAAAACAATCTCCCTTCAAGGTCAGTTTAGCAGCTTGTGGAGCTTTCAATCACATCATATGATCTTCATCGGCAGATAGAGTTTGACGTAGAGGTGTAGAACTTCAAAGTCCCTTTTCCCAGAGCGCATTAATCCTTTGAAACTCGAGCAAACTGGCCGGATATCTCTCAGAAACATGGGACGAGGGCAACGAGCAACTGAACAAGAAATCAGTTAAAAGTTAAAGTGCTAAAAAAAGTCTAATTTTCAAATGTATCCACAAACAATCGTTTGTATGATATCCTATAAAATTGTGTCCCAAAACTGACCCTGCGTCCTTAACGTAAAGTTATGTAATCTGGAGGTTAGGTTCAGGAGAGGAAACATGGTGATGACTTACCATAAAATGAATCAGACAGTTCCGAAAAGTCGAATAGACGGCTTTTCTTCTGTGTCTGATGCGGAGGCCACCACCCATGCGCCAGTATTCAACACCTTTGGAATGAGACCAGGCTGGGTCGGAAAAACAAATTTAAGAAATATTCTGCGAGAATTTCCAAATTTCACAGTTAAAAATGAGTCGACAATACTTAAATATGAGGCTAGCTTTGACATTTTTTTTAAAAAATATTAAATTTAATTGGAATCAGGTGGAACGTTCTCATCAGAAGAGTCAGATTTTTGTCACTCCTCTCCAGAAAAAGTTAAATGTCAGCAAAAATCTACAAGAATTTTCAAATTTCTTAATAAAATTTTTTACTTTTTCTTATTTTTCCTGAAACACATTGACACCACACTGTAAGAGCTTCCCTACTGTGATTCGTTTTGAGGATTGTTAATCAGGTGGAAATTTCTTGTTAGAAGTGTTAGAATTTTTGTCAAAAAAAAACTTAAATTTCAGCAAAATTCGATTCGTTTTTCTTAGTTTTGTTAAAATAAATTTGACACAACTTGCTTTTGTGGCGCGTTTTAAGAAAAATAGTGAAAATGTTAAATTTGATTGAGATCAGGTGGAACTTTGTGTCAGATTTTTGTCACAGCTTTTAAGTAAAAATCAAATTTCAGCAAAAATCTGGGAGAACTTTCAAATTTCTGAATAAAAATCTAAATGCTGTCTTATTTTTCCTGAAATATGTCAACACTCCAGTGGGACATCTTGTTGTGGTTTGTTTTGAGAAATGTTGAATTTGATTTTAATTAGGTGTCAGATTTTTCTTCAGAAACACTTCAATTTCAGCAAAACTCTATGGAAATTTTCAAATTTCTCCACATCAATCACAATGTTTTCTCAGTTTTGTTAAAACAAGACACTACTAACTTTTTGTGGTTTGTTTTGAGGCACTTAGTGAAAAATGTTGAACTGAATTTAAAGCAAGTGGAAGTTTCATGTTAAAAGGGTCGGACCATTTTTGTCACTTTTCAGAAAAACTTCAGCTAAAATCTACGAGAACTTTCAAATCATGCTCATTTAATTCATGCAGTCTTTTTCAAAGTAAACTTTCAACATTGGTAAAATGCTTCGTTTTTACGTTTATTTCCTTAAGTTTTGGTAACAAAAGTGTGTGGACACATTTAGAAAAAAATCACTGAAGACATTTGTTATGTGACATACGTCCCTAGCTGCACATACCAGCACACTACGTTGGACTTCTCAGCATGGATTCTACAGCATTTGGTGCATCCTCTGATGCTGCTGTTTAGAGTGTTTAGAAATACATTCAAGTCTGTGATTTTGCCTTTGTTAGCAAACTTAGAAAGAGGATGTGGGACTCCTGGTTTCCACCCCCGTGTTGTGTTCACTTTCCTGGAAAACCCACAAGCGCACACAAACATAAACTCGGGCAGCTTTTAGCTCGGTGTCAACGGAGGTTTGCTCTTTTAGTGTCAGAGCCTTCTAGTGTCAGATGTTTGTCTAGGTAAAAAAAAAATCTTTAAACCCACTTGGTTATGGTCAGGAAAACAAAATGTTTTGGCTTGGAAGACACAGTTTGGGGGCACAATCCCTGCAGGAAGCACAGCACTGACTCACCAAATCACAGCTGGTTTTGAACAGTGGTCTCTCCTAAATTATAAACTACGTCACTTTAGAAACGTCGCTATGTTACGTATGAAACGGAAAAATGTAACATATCTGTGGTTTGCACAAACGTACAGTGCCAACATTTTCTTCTGGTGACTCAGCTGCTCACATCGGTACTTTTTATATCGTCCAAGATCTCTAATTCACCTCGTCTGTTTGCAGAGTTTATTCAAAAACTTTGTGTAAAAGTTGTGCTTGGTATTAATTTAGAAGTAGTGCGTTATGACGAGCATTTTAGGAGTCAGACTTCTCCCATCCAGTGTTGATTTTGACAGCTTGAGATGAAAATGTTTCTTAGTTTTAGTCACATTTTAGTCATTTTTATCCTTCGTTGTTTTAGTTGACAAAAATGTGAAGTCCTGCGGCTGATGGCTGTTGCTCCGCTGCCTAACAAGCGGAGCTAGCTGCTAACAGCCACCGCCGCAACTAACAAACTCTACGAATCCATCCCGGCCGTTCTCGGCTTTCAATGTCTGACAGTCCACCACTAACATTTTCACTACGTCTTGTCTTGTCAATGAAAATGAAACGTAGATTTCATCTTAGTTTTTATCATCAAGATCTATTTTTAGTTCGTCATCGTCTCATTTTCGTCATGCAAAAAGAGGTTGCTGCCGAAAAGTTTTCCTCATAGTTTTCATCAATGAAATTAACACTGCACCCAACAACGGCGCCAGATATTTATAAAATAATCTCTTCATTTTTAATTTGTTATATTTAATTCATTTATTGGCATCCATGTCTGTATAAGCTTTACACCTCCTAAAATCATTCACCGTCTTTGAAAGAACAGAGGGAAGTCTCAACAGCCACATTTGAAACCAGCGGTTTAACCATTTGAACGCCAACAACACGGTGCACGTGACTTCCTCCTGCACGGAAACCACAGGAGAGTCAGCGTTTCTGTCGCCGCAGATTTCCAGTGAAAATTCAAGCTGAAAATGTGACGTCACATCAGCATGTGAGAGCTTTAAAATGAGCTGGTTATCAAAACTCATGTCAGCAAAAGCGTATTTTAGCCTAACTTTAGCTTTTATGAGGACATTAGAAACTGTTCTTTGGGAAGCCGTGGTAGAAGTTTCACAATCTTTGCTGCAGCACGGTGCGGTTTATTTATCTGTCTGTCATTTGTCACCAGAAAAGCGGAATTTATACTTCTGTGTTGAATCGAGACGTTGCTTTCATCGCCATAGTTCAGACAAAGTCAGGTTTTAGCCTTTTGATCGAGTACGTGGTGACTGACCTGCAAGATCTGCACTTGCAGCTCAGCTTAACCTTTGTTTTCGCTCTGCAGGCACTTATCGTCTTGATTTTCATCTCGCCGCGGCGCTCTAATCTGCAGCAGTGTGTGATCTAACATCCCGAGCTGCTGAGTAATGACTCGGAGATTACTTCGTCTCGTGATGGATGAGGTAATGCATGTGGGGGCTCGCTTTGATGGTCGCCAGCAGCTCCCTCTGAGCAACACTTTGGTACATTTCTGTTGTGTAACGCAGCACAGCGCTCTGGTTGCTCCGAGTTCAGGAGGAATGATTCTTATCTTCCTCACCTGACAGCTGTCCATCGGCTCGTGTCCTCCTCGCATCTCCGGTGCTCCACGGTCTGGACGTTTGAGCCCTGTAATGGCAGCTGAGAGTTCTGTAAGCATCTCAAGATAAAGTACCCAAAATGTAAAACACAGCAGATTGAGGAGCTTCTCGTCCCGAGTGTGCCGGGTTTCATCAGGCCATCAATTACCCAGGAGCACTCTGGGATATTTACATGTCTCCGCACGAGATCAAAACTCTGTCCCTCCTTAATGGGAGCACTGGCCTGCACAAAGACACACAGTGAAAGCTCAGTAAATGGAGAGATGGATTACTAATCCACACGGAGCAACTCAAATAAAAACGTTTTTAGTTTGACGCACTTTTGGTTTTCATCAGTTGTGGGAAAGTTGGAACAGGAAGTGACTTTATTAGAAGATGACTGAAAGTCAAGTTTTTATGCCTCCATGCTGGTGATAGTCGTGTTTTGAGGTTGTCCATCCGTAGGTCCCATCCTTGTGAACGTGACATCTCAAGAACATTGAGGGAATTCCCTAGAATTTGGCACAAACACCCACCTAGACTCAACAATTAACTAATAAGATTTTGGAAGTCATAGGTCAGCGATCGAGGTAACTTTAACCTGGTTCGTCTCATTCTCATGAACAAGATATATTATGAGCACTCTGAGGGAATTTCCTCAAGTTTGGCACAAGCGTCCACTTGGACTCAGAGATAAACTGATAAGCCTTTGGTTGCCAAGGGTCAAAAGTGAAAGGTAACCGTGATTTTGCTTACATTTTATTCTTGTGAATGAGACATCTCAAGACCACTTTGAGGGAATTATTTCAAATTTGGCACAAACGCCCACTTGGATTCAGCGATGAACCGAATAGATTTTGTTGGTCAAAGATCACTGAACACTTAACACTTGAACACAATATCTCAAGAAGGCCATGAGGGAATTAACTCATATTTAGCACAAACGTCCACTTGGACTCATCAAATAACTGATTAGAATTTGGTGGTCGAAGGTCACTGTGACCTCACAAAACATGTGGTTGTCCATAACTCAAGAATTCTTTTGCAAATTATGACAAACACAAATGTCTAACAGGATATCGACATTTTATATCCAAAAGGTCAAAGGTCAGCTTCACTGTGACATCATCATGTTCTGCATAGAACACTTTTCTGTCCGTTACTCAGCATCATATCTCAGGAACAGAAGGGGACGGCAGCAAGATGGTGATTCTTGTTGTTTCTGAAGGGTTTGAATCACATTTTAAAAAAAAGCCTCTGACCATTTGCAGTCTGCTCTGAGGCCTCATTGTGAGGACAGTTAGAATCCATAAGATCTCATTTTCAGGCAGCATTCAACGCAGAGCCTTTGAACCTTTGTGTGCCGCTCTCTTAAGCTCCCCCACCCCCATCCCCCACCTTCCTCCTCCTCCTCCCCATATTTGGGCCAACTCGAAGGCCAAGTGGCCTGGTGCCCAACGCCTTCCTGTCACAGTCCGCAGGATCTGTGCTGCCACCCTGAACTGAGGGGAGGCTGGGGCCTGTTGTCTCACTTTAAGCTGTTCCCAAGTTCACCAAATCGCCTGTCCAGTGCTCCGTCTGTCTGTCTGTCCCCAAAGACATTTAGATGTCCCACGTGATAAAGAGCTGACACAACTGTCCACTTTGACTTAATGTCCTGAGACCCCAGCTATGTTTGGTATGCATTTTCAAAAAACTAAGTGATAATGAAGTCCCAGTGTCCTCAAACGAGTGCTTCTTGGTTCTGCAAAGTTTCAACCATAAAATGTGTTCAGGTTTTGTATCTTGTCCACTCTTGTCTGAGTCAGCTGCAGATGGACTTGGCAGAGATGGCTGCCATCTTGTTTTTATTAGTGTATTTTGGTCTTGCCACCACTAAACAACACATAACAGGTCTGAGTTAAGCAGAAGTTAGTTAAAAGTACCCGGTTGTTCGAAATCTCTCTGGTGTTACTTTATTATTGATGGATCCCTCTAATGTGTTCTCCTTCCTCAGATGACATGGTGACGTCCAAGTCCAGCCTGTTCTTCATGATCTCCAGCGAGGGGAACCAGAACCTGTACGTGACGCAGGCCACCCTCTGGCTCTACTTCAAGCTGCTGCCGTCCCCTCTGGAGGTGCGCCCGAGGCGGAAGGTGACGGTGAAGGTGTACTACCAGGAGCCCGGCCTCGGCAGCAAGTGGAACCTGGTGGAGAAACGGGTGGAGCTGAAGCGCAGCAGCTGGCACACCTTTGTGCTCACCGACGCAGTGCGGTTGGTGTTTGAGAAGGGCGACCGGCGCCAGAACCTGGACGTGCGCTGCGAGGGCTGCGAGGCGGAAGGTGTCGTGCCCATCCTGCTGAACCACAACGACGAGTCCCACCGGCCCTTCCTGGTGGTGCAGGCGCGGCAGTCTGACAGCAAACACCGGATCCGCAAGAGGGGGCTGGAGTGCGACGGCAGCAGCAGCCTGTGCTGCCGCCAGCAGTTCTACATAGACTTCCGGCTCATTGGCTGGAACGACTGGATCATTGCGCCGTCGGGATACTTTGGGAACTACTGCGAGGGGAACTGTCCCGCCTACATGGCGGGCGTCCCCGGCTCGGCCTCGTCCTTCCACACGGCGGTGGTGAACCAGTACCGCATGCGGGGGATGAGCCCAGGCTCCATGAACTCCTGCTGCATTCCCACCAAGCTTAGCACCATGTCGATGCTTTACTTTGACGACGAGTACAACATCGTCAAGCGGGACGTTCCCAACATGATCGTGGAGGAGTGTGGCTGTGCTTGAGTATGTTTTATTCCTGTTTATTTAAGGTGGAACTGAAGATTCACAATATTACAACAACAACAAAAAAATGAATATAGAAACAGAATATTTATGGACGACGGAAAAAACATGCGCACACACAACCTCATCCACACATATCTACACCCCTCATGTATGCCTGCACAAAAACTTGTACATATATTTATGTTTGTTGATATATTTGGTTATATTCTCTGGTGGAAGACTGATTCGGTCTCCTTCAAAGGGACGTGAAGAGTTCTCTTCCAAATCTTTGGAAAACAATCATTATTAAGTATCTCTAAGATAGCGAGGATCTGGCTCAAGACTTACCTACTAGCCTTTACACAGCAGCATCACGTGATGTCATTTCCTGCCGTGGGTCACGTCGTTAGAGTTTCATTAGAAGTTTTGGAATTAAACTCTTCATGTGTAGAACATAAACCCAACCTTGAGTGTGAAAAAAAAAAAAAGAAAAAAGTCTCCAGAGGAGCCTCACGAGAGTCACGAACTGGGTTGGGGGGTGATTCAGCTACGCCTCTTTCAGGAGCAGTTTGAGGGGACAAGCACTGAAAATGTTAATACATCCGTCAACGTACAGCACTTCTGGCCAGGAGTCACACAGTTACGCTAAGAGAAACTTTGGTCCACGAGAAAATCGGCTTCAAGCTGAACGTTTGGACGCATTCCAGACATGGATGGAAACAGAAAAATATAATCGGTAGAGACTTTTCAACAAGGTTTTCACTGACGCTGTCACCAAACCGTGAAATTGTCCTCTACAGTGAAAGGTAGACTTGCCAATGTGAGGTGTCGCACCTGAAATTCATAAAAATGTTGACTGTTTGGAGGTCGTGTTTCCAATTGTTCTTCACTTTCCATTATCTTCATTGTTGAGGAGGCACTGTCACATGTTTCTGAAAGTTGGAGAGGTATTTCAACTTTTATCAATCAAGGATGAAGGTGAATCTCGGAAACCACTGGCTATGGTTGCAGACGATAACCATTTAGGAGGGCCAGTATTTTGTGCTGATCTGGTGTAGACAAGACTTACCCTTCAGTGTGAAGGTCATTTCGGCTTATCTCATCAACAGACATCTATGATACAGGTGGTTATTTAAAAAGCTAAAAAAAAAAAAAGCTAACTTGTTGTCGGACCATAGCCAATGAGTTCTAAGATTGGATTTCGGTTGATATGTTCCGCCTTTCAACATGGACACTTAACCTACCATCCAAACCTAATTGATCAGTATTATTCAGACTACAAAACACTTCCGAAACCAAAATCTTGTCCCATCGCCTACAGATTCTTCAAGCATACACAGGTATCTACTGATAGAGATCAGGGTAACCCTAACTTCTACAGAAATTGCTAAGTGTTGTGGGGACGAACGGCTGTTTTGTTGAAAACTTCCTTCAAATTACTAATCGGTTGTCTCTCAAAAATAATTTATGTGCTTAATTTTCCCTAAATTTAACAACTTCCAACTTTAAATTACCCGATTCTTTCCCTTCAAACACTGACTACGTTTACATGCACAAAATATTCAGGCTTTTGCCCTTATTCGTAAAAAGACGATATTCCTACCAAGCTGTTAACGTGGCTAATGAAAATGAATATTACACTAATATTCCTGTTTGCATGCAGCAGGACGCACGCTTATTAACATGACATTTATCACGCCAAAATATGGAACAGCTTCTTTGCAGGTTTCCTACAGTGGCGGACTTGTTGGACCATGTGAACCAACACATCCTCACTGTGACCTCGTCACATGTCCACGTTTGGTCATGGACTTTCCACGTCCACATATGACGTCCAAGGTACCCTGGGTGTGTTGGTTGTTGACTTCCGTTTTCACAGGAAATGTACAGTTTACATACAGTGTCTTTCAAAATTAAAGCACTACATCAGTACAACACTGCAAATTGACAAGTTTTTCCCCTCTTCAATAACATACGCACGTGGTTGGGTTTAGAAAAAAAAGAACAGGGTTTGACTTTATAATATTATAGAAAGTCAGTTGGATCCATCCACCTTTGCACCCACCCGCCCTACTCAGACTTCTGCCACCTTAATGTCTGTCATTGTCCCACTGCGTTTTCCCTGAAATAATAACAGCGACTGGCCGCGTAATGCATCCAAATACTGCTGTTACATCCTGAATAATACCGGCATATCCCACATGACCTAATCGGAAAATGCTTGATTTGGAAAAAGGTCTACTTCGGAAAATCCAAACTGAATATGCTGTTCACATGACCTGCATGAAATTCAGAATATTGTTAGAATAATGGTGGAATATTAATGTGCATGTAAATGAACCCAATGTCTCACAAATTACAAAGCTGAGATCATTCACTGTGAACCACTCAAACTAAACTAAAAAGGAGGGGGCAAATTGTTTGAGAGCACGATTTAGTATCTGTGGGCCTGCCAAAAGTTCCTCCTACAGGAATCTGAATATTTCAGTAGTTAACAACACAAACCATGTCCAGCTGTGCTCAGTCCAGTCCAGTCCAGTCCAGTCCAGTCCAATCCCAAAGGGACGACAAGATCTTTGCATACATGAGGATGGTGGAGTGAATATCAGGAACGACCTCACATTTTTGTTAACATTTGGATGTTGCAAGAAAAACCTTCAGATTGGATTCCTTCCTGTTGATGAAATTGAAGAAAATCTCATTTCAGTCACTGAAAGTGAAAAGTTGCGATATTGCTCAGTTTAGTGACGGTGCAGCTTCGTACTTCCCGACGCACACTTTGATGATAGCACTTGCAGATTGAAATGCCTTTAATGAGCCCTATGTGGCGCACCATTGCCCACGGTCCTTCTAAAAAGAAATAAGTGCCGCATGAGCTATGCAATGTATAGTATTTACCCATACACCAGACAAGCTGAACTTAAGCTCTTCTGACAAACTATCACCAATACTTGAAATGTAAGTGTGGTGAGCAGGGGGGCAGGTCGGGCTTCGGCCGGGAGGTTGGAGGATTAGAAATGTGTCTTTGGTGGTAGATGGTGAAGTCCCTTAGAACTTCTGACAACATCGCCAGTATCCCTTCCGTTCGACTGGTAGAAAAAAAATCAAGTTTATATGCTACACATGGCTTTTGCCAAATATATTTTGGAAGAAATTCCACTGTTGTTAAGATTATGTTTTACCAGTCAGTCCATGAGAATCAACTTTCAAAGTATTATGTTGCTAAAAACCATTATCTATCTCTACACTTCTTACGTCTGCTGCACAATACAGTAGATTTTGACACATTTTAGCTGGACTTAATGCATTACCATACAGCAATGGTTCCCAACACAGCAAACACAATTTTGGCTACACAAAATTCTTTCAATCTTCTGAGCTCTTCCTTAAATTCATTGGATCATCGCACCTCTTCAGGCCTAAAAACACTACTCAAGTCAAATAAAGAAATAATGGAGTATTGGTTGAACTGCTGACAACTAGTAGACTTATGTTGTGCTCACACCAATGCAATGTGAATTTTTGCGTTAGGTTACTCATGCGAATTTGAACGCTAGAATAATTTGTGTTGACTCGCTTTGTGTGAATAACTCGTGTCTCACACATGTAAAATCGCGTGTACCCCCAAAAGACAAAAAATTTTGCCAGAGAGGAGGGGCTTCCCGCATATTTTCAGTCAGTCAGAGCTCCTTTTTATTCCTGTTTCTGTAAAAGTAGTGTCATAGAGCTTGGGGTAGCCACAGAACGACACAATCAGCTTCTCCACCACTAATCGGATGCATGAACTTCTGCAGATATGTCCGAGGTGTCAAATGTCCCTGGAGGATCTGCTGATTGGCTATCTTGATGCAAATTGGTCGCTGAAGTTCACATTTTTCAACTCTCGCAAATAAGTGTATGATGTGAAGTTGTGCTACTCGCTACATTCGCACTGATTAATTCGTGTCCATTTTGCCCCCTGGCAGGAATTTGTGCCTAATCACATCTTTGCATTGAATCGTCGTGTATTTTCCGGCTAAAATTCAAGTTTTTCTGAAGAGTAGGGAGAAAAATCTGACACTTTTATTGAAAAAGTTCCACCTAATTTCAATTAAATTTGCATCATTTGCATCACTCATGTCGCGTCCATCACGCAGCCTGGCGGGAATTCATGTCTAATCCCGTCTTTTCATTGACTCATGCCAATTCTTTATTTGTGCCCATTGTGAACACAATGTTTTACACAACCTATGAAAAGCGTTAAAAAGTACACTTTGTTTCAGGGCATCACAAGCCAAAAGAGGTTGGGAACTTTTGTTAAAGAGTATGAAAAAAATAGAAAACGTAAAATATGACATCACCCTAATATAAAAGTTTCATTGTCACTTGCAGCTACCATTTTTATTTGGAACAGAGCAGCATGTTTTGAAACAGGCTAGAAATCAACCCAGTCATCAGAAAAAAAACTGTTGGCATTGTACGTTTTGCAAACCAAGGATACGGTACATTTGTTATTATGTAGAGAATACGATGAAACTTTTCAACAATGCTGTGGTTAATGTGATTAGGAAAAGATCAGGCTATGGCTGAAAGCACCAATCTGGAGGGCACAATCTCTGGCAGGGAACACAGCACAACACCTTACTGAGGGTTCTTTCACACCTGCCCTGTTTGGTTCGGTTCAGTCGAACTCTAGTTGGTTTGCCCCCTCAGTGCGGTTCATTGTGCAGTTGTGAACACACCAAAACAACCGGACTGAGACCTTCTTGAAGAGGTGGTCTCAGTCCGGTTCCAAAGGAACTCTGGTGCGGTTGGTTTGTGGTGAGAAGGTGTTCTGACCTGGATGTGAAGCAACTGCAGTCACATGACACATTGTTTGGGTTAAACATGAGCATGTTACAGTCCTGGAGGATTATTAATGTGCACCTCCTCCTGTACTGCCTTAATATGCACATTCAGCACATCCAATGCATCAAAACATTGTTTTCTAGTTGGAGCCGCGCCTCGTTTTCAAACTGTATGGTTTGACTAAAATGAACAATGACAGCAATATAGTCCACGATGAGCAGCGCTAAAATCAACCTGCGTAGTTGTCCCTCCATTGTGACATTAGAAAGTGTCACATTTATCTTGCAAGTGTACTCTTCTTCAACGTTTGCTTTACTTCCTGGATTTTTCCCACATGGAAATTCTGACCAATCAAGAGCAGCTTTCTCACACAAGGCATTTGATCTGGTCCTCTTGTAAATGCTGCCGTGAGAACACGAACCAACTCTAGGCAATTACACAACTTTGGAACAACATGAGTCCCTGATTCAGACCAAAGGAGACCACTCCAGGGCTGACAGCAGCCTCAACCACAAGTGGATTTGTTATTTGCTGGTCTGCTGCTTGGCAGGCATCTTGCCAAGCTCTAATGTCACTTTAGAAATGTTGATATGAAAAGTAGAAATCAATCATATCCGTCTTTCTTAAGTGCTATATCAAAGGCAACTGGACTTGCTTGAGTTTCTTTAGGACGTTTCACCTCTCATCCAAGAGTCCTCTTCTGGTGGACCGGCGAGACTTCTTCAAGAAACCTTAAGCAAGTCCAGTTGCCTACGATAGAGCACTTAAGTTTACCATGACCTGGATGACTGAGAATCTTCAGCGACATATCTGTGGTTAGCAGAAACATACATTTCTTCCAGGTAATAAGCTGCAGAAATCTACTTTATTGTGCAAAGGACAAAGCTGGATGGACGAGTCTTTAAAGGATTCAATCGGTGTTACTGAATAGTGATTCTAAGGAGCAGTTTTCCTTCCCTTGCGCGATCATCAATTGAATCCTCTGAAATCTAAAAGGAGGCTAACTGGGGCTAACTTTGACCCAGATGTGATGCATGAACAGTGATTTTGGAGTCTAAATGAATGTGTCCCAGTGGAGTTCCCAGTTCGGCACCGAAACACACTTTGAGACACAGTTTCAGTCACTTTGACATCACTTTGATATTTTCAGGTTAGACCTGTTATTTCACGAGCCCTGCTCTCATTCACAGGCTTCACCACCACCAGGTACACATTTAAGAGAATACCTGCAGGTACTGCTTATTATCTCCTCCCGCCTCCTGTCCGACTCTCGACCCCGACTTCGCCTGCCACTGTAATCCTTCGCTCATTCTTCAAAGCGAATGGTTGTTAGAATATTTGCACTGGGGAGCTGTGTGACTAGTAATAAGAAAAATAAAAATGAATAGAAACTGCCATTGAAAAAAAAGTTATTTTTATAGAAGCAAAATTGAGCTCTGTTCAAATGTATTATACCTAATCATGGAACCAAAGAGGCCAAGAGGTTTAGCTATTGAAAGATGGCAATGCCGTCATGTTTGTGTTGTTGTAAATGACTTTGTGACAGTTTAAAAGAGGCCTAAACACTGTATCAGGGTATAATATCAGTCCATAATCAGCTTAATCTCTTTTCTATTTTGTACCTAGACATGGAATATTTCATATTTTTTCATCAAATTACTTAAATATTCCTAGTTTACTTTCTTCTTTTTGTTAGCTCTCGTTACAGAGTCATTTAGAGTGAAGCACACGCCATCTGATCCCTGTACAGTCGATGTAACATATGAATATGCTTTTGAAATATTTTGTTCTTTGTAATTGTTGAAAAATAAATTTCTTATTACCAATCATATGGATGTGTTGTTGGGTCATGAGACGAGAGACGGTCCTGGAGTCAAAAACCAATGGTGGAAAGTAACTAAGTGCGGTTACACTTCATAATAACCATCATTAATAAATAGTAAATTGATAGTTAACTTAAGTTTAGTTATTTTACTTTTAATATCATAATTATTAATGTTACGAATGATTAGCAATGCCATCATTTATATTATCTTAACAGTTTATTGTTGCACATTAAACATTGTATATACTATATTAAATATTTGTTAATGATTACCAAATTATTTGTAACTCTTTAAGAAATTGTTTGTAAAAACATTACATAGAAAGATGGAGCAGATACTTGTAACACTTGGTCACTTGGTTTGTACACCATCTATAGATATTATTTGGACGGCTATTACAAAATTGCAACTGATTATGAATGCACACCCCAGTATTAATAACCATTTAACGAGGTGTTATAATCAGTTACAATTTTCAATAGCCATCCAAATAATGCTTCAATAATGTCCAATTAATAACCATTAACTATTCAGTATTTGTTAATGATTATCAAATGACTGGAAAATCCTAAAGAAATACTTTGTACAAATATTACAGAGATACACAGACCAGATATTTACAACACATTGTTAACGGTAACATTGTGTAGATTGCCAGTGTAAAGTTGCAATTAATGATTTTAGTACCTTGTTATATGGTTAATAACCATTAGTAGTGGATCTCTAAACACATATGGGTGTTTATAGATGCACTACACAAAACTTATTAACATTTATTGGAATAGTCCAAGTGATAGCCATTAACAATGTGGTACAATATCTGGTCCATCTATGTACAGTTTCCTACACATTAATTGGTAATCATTAACACACACTTAATGTAATATAGTAAATGTTAATACACAATAAACTAGTAAATCAAATTATAGAAATATATAGCAAATATATAATATATGAAGTGTTTAATGTTGTAATGATGTCCAAGTGATAGCCGTTAACAATGTGTTACCATATCTCGTCCATCTATCTATGTACAGTTTCCTACAAATTAATTGATAATCATTAACACACACTTAATGTAATATATTAAATGTTAAAATGGGAGCCACAATAAACTGTTTAATTGAATTACATAAATATATAGCAAACATATAGTGTTGAATGTTGTAATCATGTCCAAGTGATAGCCATTAACAATGAGTTACAATTATCTCGTCATCTATCTATGTACAATTTCCTACAAATTAATTGATAATCATTAACACACACTTAATGCAATATATTAAATGTTACAGTGGGAGCCATAATACACTGTTAAATTAAATTACATTAATATATAGTGTTTAACATTGAAATAATGTCCAAGTGATAGCCATTAACAATGTGGTACAATATCTGGTCGATCTATACAGGTAAAACTTCCCAAATTAATTAGTAATCATTAACACACTTAATATAGTATATTAAATGTTAAAATGGGAGCTGTTTAATTGAATTACAAAAATTTATAGCAAACATATAGTGTTGAATATTGTAATAATGTCCAAGTGATAGCCATTAACAATGTGTTACATTATCTGGTCCATCTATCTATAAATAATTTCCTACAAAACAATTGGTAATCATTTATCCACACTTAATATAGTATATTAAATGTTAATATTAAACTATTAAATTAAATTATAGAACTATATAGCAAATATATATCAAGTGTTTAATGTTGTAATGATGTCCAAGTGATAGCCGTTGTGTTACAATTATCTCGTCATCTATCTATGTACAATTTCCTACAAATTAACTGGTAATCATTAACACACACTTAATGTAATATATTAAATGTTATAATGAGAGCCATAGTACACTGTTAAATTTAATTACATTAATATATAGTGTTTAATGTCGTAACAATATGATAGCCATTAACATTGTGTTACAATATCTGGTCCATCTATCTACGTTATGTTTTTACAAACAATTTCTTTGACATTTGGTCATCATGAACAAATAATAAACATAGCACATAAAATGTTATAATGTGGTAACGATAAATAAATGAACAATAAAATAACAAATTATAGCATTTTTAATTAAACGCTAAATTATCATGTCATTATTTGTTTACAACAAAATAAGTTTAACTATCAATTTTCCATTTATTTATGATGGTAATTTTAAATCATTACCCTGATGAACACATGAATGCATTAATAATCATTATCCAATAATGATATACATTATTCTGCATAACAAGCACTTTGAAATATGGAATTATAAGTAAATTTTGATGGAACATTGTTTTACTTTCACCTTATTAACATTTTACAGGCAGGACTTACTTGTAATCGAGTATTTCTACACTTGCGTGTAATGTCAGAGTACTTCTCCCACCACTGATATAAAAACTAAAGCTGTAATCACATCAAAAGAAACCGAGGGATTGGGTGTAACGCCAAAGATGCCGACCACAGAGCCAGCTGTTGTTTTTCCTTCTTATCAAAGGATAGTTAACATTCAGTCAACATGACATGTTGTTCAGTAAAAACCTCAAGGAGCAATTACCTCGGGCGGCTGACACGGGTGGTTTCCCTGCCATGCTCGCCCACGTGTTGACACCTCTCTTCATTTTGGGAGATGTAGGCCAGAAGCCCATAAAAATTCCCAACTCGTTTTATCAGCAGAGAGGCTGACGTCAGAGGGTTTTCCCAGTGAATCGCCTCGTGTTATATTTGACAGCGGTGGAAGTGGATCTCTCACTCAAGTAACAGCAGAAGGAACTCTCCTCTGCATTTAAAACCTTCTTTAAATTAAGTACGAAAGAATTAGCATACAAATAAAGTAGCAAATGTCAAAGTACACATTAGGCACAGTAATGCATCTTATATTATTGGAGTATAATTATTGATGTTCATCACCGTAAGGTTGCAGCTGGTAAAGGTGGAGCTTATTTTAATGACTTTATTTACAGCTGGGTCATTTAATCTATAATAATACATCATATTTTATTTGTTAATAATAGTTTGTATAAATGTAGTGCAGTAATCATACACATTTTGA